GGACGACAACCGACACCAGATCAACTCTCCTTGCATTGCCGCTCACCTGCTTTGTCGTGCTTACCTCCCGTCCAGATCAAGTAGATCACGAGCTTCGGGGTAATGTCGACACCAGGGACAAAGACCGCCGAAGATAATCCTCAATCTTCCGCGGACGCTCGTCGAGACGTGGTCGAGGGCCATTCGGCACGAACCTTTGCAGGCCAATTCATTGGTACGGGCACCTCCAGTAGACATGGTCGGCCTCATGCAGTGGTAGCAGTGTGGTTTTCAGTCGGCCATTCGCAATACCTCCGTTTTCCTCGGTGTACTTTGTTTAGCGCGGACCTACACTGGTTCTTCCCGATGTCGGGAATGCTTCGGCGTTGAGTTGTCTCGTTGAATTGGCATTCAATAGTAGCAGGTAGCCGGTGGTGGTCGTTGTGACTTTGTGGCATAAGTCGCCCTCAGTTCGTCAGATGCCGCTTCACTCAAAGAAGTCTCCAGTTGAAATGCCTGTCGAACTGCTTCTGAAACAATCTCAGCGATCAAAATAAAACCCGGGCAACTGATGGCAGGAAATAGCTCCCTTATCTCCTCCCGGACACCGTTGTGGATGATGTCACGGATGCCTGGCGTCGAAGTTGCAGCTGGAGAACTCGAGTGTCGAGACGCTGGGGAGTTGTTGATAGGGACAGGCTCGGGCCTGCAGTGTACATTCAATGTTAGAAGCCTCATTTATATGAACCCTTCGACTGTTGTCGTGGGGTTGCGGACAAGGCTGCTGAAGGTGTTGTCCCTCACATGAGGGACATGGGATTCTTAGCTTCTTGTCTTCTGTAGCATCAGGGTTGGCGTGGGTGCTCGATCAGAAGCAAAACATCCTCCACGAAGGTGGTGACGCTCTCGTTGGGGCTGTGTCCTGGACAGAATCAGGAATTCAGCTCTCTCTCGTCAATGTTGACTGATGAACGTGCACTTCAGCTCGATCTTGCAAACTTCCCACGACGTTAAGGAGGATTCGTGGTTCTCAAACCAGTGCCTCGCAGTTTCTTCCACGAGAAGTATAGGTTCTGCAGAAGCTGGTTGTCCGTCTACCCACTGTGGCGGGCGACACGGACATATTGTTCAATCTAGCCCTGGATGTCTTACGCACCTTGCGTGAAAGTGCATCAGAGTGTGAGATGCAACGGGCATGCAAACGATGGTGGGAGCGGACGTGGTTTGTTGCTACAGGTTTGTCATTGTTGGCTTAGTCCGCTTCGGTTTTTCTGTCAAAAGACCTGATTCCGGTGGTTCTTGCTGATAGCAGCGACTGGCTTGGATTTCAAGTTCTTCGTGGTGTATTTCCGTGTTTCGTCCTTGTGGTACTCTCTCGTCTTGCAGTTGTTCTGCCGGGATCGGAATAGGACTTGGTTCACGGCTTGCCGGGGGTTTAAGACTGGGGATAATGTGCCACCCGTGTCTTCTTATCAGGCAACTCGGCTGAGGAGCCGCCAGGGTCCACACAGAGTGAAGGGCTATGGATAAAGTGCGCAGCACCTCCACCAGAACATACAATGACAGCTGAGCATGGCCTGGAACTTTCCAGAATAGTAAATATTGATAGAAAATAGGACTGGAGCAAGCATCCGTCAAAATATAACAAAACAGACAGAAAAGAGTCTATCCTGACCACCAAAGCAGCTGCATTGCTTCAGTGGCATTCTGTCCGAATAAATCCTCTTCTTCGGGGTCTGGCGGCTGCCGTGGACGAGCTGAACTGAAATCGATGTGGAACCACTTTTCTGGTAATAAGCCCCTGCAGACTGCCGTCGCAAAGCGGCGTGAACGGGTGGACTGGGTAGGTGACACGCGCGATGAAATGTCCATACAGCTTGCAATTCGCGTAACGAGTGTTGATGAAACTTTAGTGTCGACGAAACGTGCGACAGACCAGCGGAGTCATTACCAACTGCAACACCTGTGCTCCGTGAAAGTGCACGGTTACGCCGGAACAATTTGGGAAGCAGCACAGCATCACCTAAAGCATGGCATAGGAACTACCAGCTTGAAGGCAGCTCTTCGGTACGTCGCACACCTGTGCTCCGTGAAAGTGCACGTCTACGCCGGAACAGTTAGTGAAGCAGCACAGTATCATTTAGCACGGCACAGGAATTACAAGCGGCAAGGCAGCTCTCCGGTGCACCGCACAACCAAAGTGAGCCTTCGGTCATTTGAACGAAGCGGCACCACAATTGCACACTGCCAAGCACGACTCACGCAATTTCCGTCGCTAAACTGTGTATCCAAATATATTGCACACACTTTACTGCAGATCTCGAGGGTTCCGATGGTCAACGAGAGCACAGAAACGTCGCCTTAAAATTTATCCTAGCGGTGTCCGAATCAATCCGAGCTCCGAGCAACGTAAGGCCGATTGCCTCCTTCGTGGCAATATCCCCGTCGGTCACTAGCGAAATGCACACCGTTCCTCCGTATTTTCTCGTTATACCTACGTCAGGCACCACGCTGAACTCTAAAGTCGCTTTAGATCGGCCTCATATGACGCCTTTCGTGTCTGAAATCAGCTCACCGAGACGAACGACAACCAACAAAGTATCCGACAAGCTCCGGCCCAGCTGGGGCCAGCCGCTGCATGGGCGCTGCCATCTTTCCTGTGACGTCACGTCTTTGGCTTGGTCATGTGACGAGTGGTCGAATTTGCGTACAATGGCAGCCGCCTTATGGGGGTCACTTTCGATAGCAGACCGGAACCCCGGTTTATCGCTCTAAGCCCCTCTACCTCGTTGAGGTTGAACGAAGAAGACGTTTGGCCGCGGTGGTCCTGGCGTTGACTATCGAGGACGAGGAGGACTTAAGTGAACCGAGAAGGGCATGCATCTATTGCCCCACAGAGTGGGGAATTGCTCCACGAGCGCAATGAAATAAAAAGTTCCATCGTCGCACCATGCCGCCATCGTCGCAGAACAAAAGGTTCGGCTTTTTCGTCTTCAACAGTTGGCGCCAAAAGAACTTTGGATTTGAATTCCAATCCAAACACCAACAGTCAGCTTGTTGCCAGACTTAGCGCTTCAATTATACTAAAAACGCCGCGGTCCGCCGCCAAGGTCCAGGCGAGAAAAGACGCTTGGCATTTCTCAGAAGCGCGGGCCGCGGACCACCGGCGGACCTCGAAAACCGGTGACGTAAGATCACGTGATGCACGGCCCGCGGACCAAAACAGCAATTTGGTCCATCGTGTGGATACACTCTAAAGGGCGGCACCGAAACAACTCTCGTTGCTAATAGGGGGAATTCACTGGACGCCATATTTGAGGGCGCTGTTTAAAGCGCATGCTCAGAACAAGATCACATTATTACGCTGCTAAGACCGGGGATATTCATGGTGTGGAACGCACGCTGCAAAATAACTTTGGAAGCTCGCCATTAGCACGCGCTCAGCAATCGCGCACAGAGTTCTGGCCGGCAGTGAATAATCCCTAATCAAATGCATCGTTCAAGTACCGCTATTCTGCCCTGCTATTACAACCACAAAACAAAGTGTTTTTTTTTTAAAAAGAGCTTCTTAAAACGAATATTAAAGGGACCATGAAGGCAGTTTCGAAGTTTTATTCGACGATTGAAATGGATGTCAGGCACGTTTCAGATACTGTTGACCAAGTTCTAGCCCGAACAGAAGTTCGGGTGCTGCACCAATCGCGCAAACAGGCGCGGTAATAATAGCGCCGGGAACGATGCCTGAGACCCCACCGAGGCGGCGGCAGAAAGGTGAACTAAAGTGCGCCGTTGAAGAGTGACGACAACGGGCGCCTCGTCTGGCGATTGGTTCAAACGATAGACGCGCTCTTGGTTTCAATTTCGGTGGTGAGATGTGATGAAAAATTTTTATTTGAACGTTGGATAATCTTTTGAAGTTGTAGTTGGGAATTAATAGGTTTCATACCGTGTATAAAAGCACAATCTGAAGCGATCCCTCCGTTTGTCACTGGTTGAACGCATCCCGCACTGCTACCTCAGGCGCGTAACAAGCATCGAGCAACCATGGACAAAAAAAAAAAAGAAAAAGGTACGAGCGCCGCGGGCGGCGAACTTTTGGTTTTGGTTTCGTGCGTCGTCTCGTGTTCGCTTTGCGAACTGGTGTCTCACCAATCATGCTGCGTTTATGTGCAGTAGTAGGTTGCGCGAAAGGTCGGCTAAAGACGTGCAGTCGATCGGGCCACGTTAGTTTGCATAAACTGCCGACCGATGCAGCAATCCGCAGCATTTGGTTGCGCGCCGTCGTCTTGCGTAGAGCTGTGGACAGCGGTGTCAGGATTTGTTCGTTGCATTTTCGACCAGAAGACTTTGAGCAGCACCTTCACATCAGCCAGAGTCTGGGTAAAAACATGAAGTTCCCGCGTCTGAGGAAAGACGCCATTCCCTCACTTTCCTTGCGCAAGGAGCCCACACCACAGCGGCAGCGTCCTTAGCAGCATCTCCCGTTCAGTCGGCGTGAGGTCGCTGAACGGGAGCTCAAACTCGTTTGCGAGCGCGGCGTTGTCGTCCATTTCTTCCAGGTTTTCTGCACAGACCGCCGTGCACTAGAGCGAACCACGGGAACCACACTGAGTGTGCACTAAATCCTACCGATGCCGACAGTGCTCCCTGACGTCACTTCTCTTTCCAGAGGCGAAAAAGGGAAGAAATCTGAATGTATGTTTCGGTTTCGCAAATTTATTTGCAGGTACAGAAATAAGAGTCACAACGTTCTAGAAACAATTCTGTGGCATGCCAGGACCCCAATGCTTCCGAAAACACCTTGTTTAAAAAAAAAAAAAAGAATTAAATTGCATTCGTGGTTTCTTTAAGCTCCTGGAACTCGTAAGGAATTGTAGTCAATTTATGTAAAATGTAAAAAATTACGATATCATGCAGTTTGAACGCTAAGAAACTATCTGGTTTTCGCTGTGTAAACAACGGACAACAAAACGGAAATACATGTATAAACGATTGCTCAAATAAATGTAGAATACACAGGATAAAAAAAAGACGGGTTTATTGCGTCAGATGCTTCGTGGTTCGCCAAAATACAACGGCATTTCTTTGTGCGATATCGAAGTAAAGGTTTGTTTTGGTCAGCTTAAGGGTGATGATTAAACTGAAGGGAGGTTGAGGTTCTTGGGTATGCGGACGTCACCGAAGTTCTCTTGATAGCGGATGCAGTATACGGACAGCCAGTCCACGTCGTTGAAGGTCAGCGATCCCGGAAGAGTCAGGGTGATGTCTTCGCCGGTGTAACCTTTGGTCAGCTTCACCCTGGCAAGGAGACAGAATCAAACTGCAGTTCCAGTCCCCACCTTTCTTTTGCGCTTTCAGGGGCTTTACGATTGCCTCGAACAATGATTAAGTTTTGTTCCGTATTTTGCTGAAGGTGGCGTAAAATGGCTCATGCATAAGGAAATTAAATTACGGTTTCTAGCCGTGTTCTGCAAAATAATGGCGGCGGCGGCTGAGGCGCTGCGCACTTCGGTGCACGCAGACTACACATAATCACACTGCCCACTAACCATGACGTCACTTGGCCTTACAATGTCAGTGACGCCTTCGCGTTACGCGACGTAATAGTATCAAGTTCACGTGGCGTATCACGCGACAAAATAGTATCGCGTCATCTGATGCTATAATATCACGTGACAGGGTGATGTTTAGCTGGCAACATTATCACTAAATTTAGCGGATATATTTTTTAGCCATAAAACATCTACAAGATATAGACGTGGGAATCCGCTGCTTAACCTTGTAAGTATAATGAGTGTCGCCTTAAAATGGGTCTTGCAAAATATGTTGACTAAATCACACTCGAAATTTAGGGTAAAGATTGACTCGTTATTTGATAAGCTCCGGCAATCTACCCATTTCATATTGGATTAGTGAGAATGACCAGATATTTTAGAATCTATATTATAAGCCTCTATACTTGATTACTTAGGACCGTATGAGTTAAAAGAAGCTCGCAATGCAGTTACTTCGTTGCGCAAGGGGACGAAATGCTAGGCGATATTTGACTCCCATTTACATTTTCGGTTCCGTGCTCCTATCGAGTTTTACGTGATATGAAATTGTCATCATTATCTGATCACGCGAGTGGACCTTGCTAACCTTTCCGGAAAGCAGAGTGCTAAGCGAAAAAAAATCTTTCAATTTAGCTCGGGTTCGTTTAGCTGCCTCGCCGCATTTTGTGACCGTAACTGCTACCATACTTCCAGCTCAACTTCACGGGAATGGCGCGCCAGGTAGTGCTATGTGGCAAAACGAGACTCACGGACTAGGTGGCGCAAGCCGCCGCCCAGTTAACAGGGTTCATCCGCATTCAACCAACTTCACTGTGAAGCCCCTATTAGACTGGATTACTCCCAGGACAAGGCTACCTTAGTACTTACTCTCCACTAGCTGTGGGAACCTTGGTGGCTCCGGTGTGGGTCACCTTCGGTCCTTTGCCGACCAGGAAGTAAACATCTGCAAGTGCATGGTCATGTTTGAAATCCTCCACACCAGGCATACTGTCCGGAAACAAGAATTAACTTCGTCAAAGTCGTTTATATGCGGTCGTCAACACCTGAGCAGAAGGCACTGTTGCGCTTAGCGTAGAGTTTGGTCAATTACTCGTGAGATAATAGGTCTAGCAACTCCCGTCCCAACACGCCTATGAAGTACATGCCTAATGCGCCTCAAATTTCGTGGCTGAAACGGCGGTCGGTGAGGGGCGCTGTTCACGCTTTGAGAAATTTCATGTGGCATCAAGGAAGATGAAGCCGATTTTTTAGTGAGCATGGATTCCATCTGGCTGCGGCATTGACCTCAGCTCTGCTTGGAAGAGTAAGGATATGTTCACAACGCTCGCCGTGCCAGCAATGACCATCCCCACCAACATGAGCTTTATTTGTTTTAACAGACGTAGATTGCACAGTTGGCACTATTTGTGTATTTACACGACTGAGATTTCTTCCACAGACAGGAGCAAACGTCACCGCGCTTCGAGGTCACGTGTGCCACACCAAGGATGCTTGCTATACTTTATTCACCCTTAAGCTGAGACTCCAGCCAATGTTACAACCACAAGAGCACGATGTTGCAGCTTTGAAATGGTCTTCTGCAGAGCGCGCACCCGCGCTAGAAAAGCCCGTCTCAAATCCAGGAGCGCGGGCTAGATCACGCGGACAGCTATTGCTGTAGTCTCAGCTTAAAGCTGAACGGAATATAGATGCTTTACACACTATCCAATTACAGCCGCCATGGCTGACCTTCTCTTGTCTTGCCGAGATTCCGAGCCACTGAAACGGGCATTGTCGTGCCTCTACAAAGGCCAATGCTGGGGCAAAGGACACAATAGAATCTAACATGGCAAAAACCTGGCCTGTTATGCTAATGATGAAGTGAACTAAAGATAATAAGAGGAAACAAAAACTGAAGGTCGGTTATGGCGGCGCCCATGTATAGCTGCTGCAAAGCGTTCTCGTGACCTCGAAGTCTGATGACGTTTGCTCTTTTGTGTGGAAGAAACCTCCATCGTGCGAACTCACCACAAATGGTATTATCACAGGAATGATTGACAGAAATGGTGACGCTCCCCGGACAACAAAGTCGAATTTTATAGAGACTGTATCACATGTACGAAATGTATCTGACCATCTCAATGAACTCCCACACTGGTATGCTCTCTTAAATCGATGTATTCCTCTTCCAGACTTTTAGACGTAGCATTCAATACCAAATGGTGTGTCGAGTTGCGAAACTGCACTCGAACGAGTGGAAATAAAACCCCATGATGGTGTGACCTGAGATGAGCGAAATGTATGTCGACGCCTGTGCATGAGACCTAGTGACAACCTTGGTGCACCGTGATTTTCAGTGCCTCGTGTTTTCTGACCAAATTCCATGTAATACATAAAAAAATATTTAAAAACAAACACAGTGGTGGCCGAGTGGTTTAGCGCACACCGACTCAGGGCACGTGGAGCGAAAGCTCGCGCTGCAGAACCCAGGGATCCCAAGTTTAGTCCCCACCCCTGCCATTTTCGATCTGGATAGGAATCGTACCGGCGTGCGGTCGTGTATCGCTACCGTGCGATGCACGATAAAGGCCTCAGGCTAGCAGTCGTACTGCACTGGCTGAACTCTTTATCTACTGTAAGCAATAATGCCATGTTCCGGCAGACTGTCCCGCAGTATAAACAACTAAGGACTAATGTGTTTTGTTCTTTGGTATTAATACAAATGAGCGATTGTTGTGCTGACGACAGGGCAACACAAGGCGCACTATTGGCGCCAACACAGCAGGAACGAGATTATCTGGAGTGTGCCATCCTAGCGCTGGGGAGGTCGGCAAAGAGTATCCTTTCCCGTAGCGTGCTTTGGGAACGCCGCTTCTCTGCCTCGGGCGTTCGACGTTCATGTACGGCTGTGCATGGGGTCTCGTTTCCCTTCTCACTGAAAAAAACAATATATATATATATATATATATTTCTACTTTGTTTTACTTTCATTTGGGGTTTCAATAATAATTGTGTTGCGTGTATTTTTAAACAGCCATAAGTCAGCCAGACTTAATGGACGTTTGGTGTCTCAGCTGTAAATGAGAAATTTAGCCAGTGCAGTACAACCTATAGCCGAGGTCTTTAGACATCAACGTGCTCCACACAGTAGTTATGCACAACCGCACGCCAGTACAATGCTCATCTGGATAGTAATCGGCAGGGGTGGGGATTGACCCCAGTATCCCTAGTTCTGCAGCAGAGCTTTTGCTTCACGCGCTCCGAGTTGGGGCAAATTAACACACTCGGCCAAATTCCGGATTTTTAAGACTGGCCTAGATAATAAGTGACTGTAGATTTTTATTTTTTTCTGAAAGGATAACTGTTTTTTGAAGCACCACCGTGAAAAAAAAAGGTCCTACACCCTTACTTTAAAAAAAGTCTGTGCGTCTACTTTCACGCACAACACTCGGAGAGCCAATCACCGCAACTTACGGAGGCAGCTCAGCGAATGACGATGCCGAAACATATGTTTAGACCAAAAAACGCATCTGAGTTGGGGCATTAAGCAATGCAAAACGTCACGCTTGTATTGCTTAATGTCACAACTCAGACTGCGTGTTTTGGTCTAAACATATGTTTCGGCATCGTCATTCGCTGAGCTGCCTACGTAAGTTGCGGTCATTGGCTTTCCGAGTGTTGTGCGTGAAAGTAGACACACAAACTTTTTTTAGAGTGGAACTCGCTCTTGTGAATTCGTGGCGACAAAGCGCCGTGTGCGGCGATTTCACTGTTATGGCCGTCAAGCACTTGCGGTATTCGTTTTTAGTGCGGCCTTTACGTCTACAATCTTTTAGTGGAAGTTGTGTTTATAGCAATTTTAAGTTCAATGTATTACTTGGAGAGGCAGCTCACCTGGGCCAGATCCGTCATAGGTGAACTTCGTGATCTGGATAGTCCTCTTGTTCTTGAGCACCACCGGTCCGGAGCCGACGTTGTGGGCTCGCTTAGTGAGCCCTCCGAGCGTCACCGGGCCTGCGGTTCCGACCTTCGTGGCAGCTGGCAGTGGGGACTGCGCCAGTGTGTTCAAAAAGATTTAATGATCGATCTATTCCACGTAGGCGGCAATATGAGCTGGCCCAGTCTAGTGCTAGCTCAAATTGATACAAATGACCCGTGGGCTGCCTCCGGCATGCTAAGGTATCAAACCAACCGTCAGAATGCGACGAATAGAAACGTGGCAGTCAATTTCAACCCCTTTTTGTAACAGCTTAATATGCGCTTAACGAAAAAATAGTCAGAGTGCAGGCGAGCTGGTGTAAGTTGAACATGATTGTAAACCTGAGACTGGGGCAGGAAGAGAACACAACAGAAGGTAGTAAAAGAGGAGGCAACGTCTCAAACTCAGCTCTGAGCTGAGTTTGAGAGGGACTGGGGCAGGAAGAGAACACAACAGAAGGTAGTAAAAGAGGAGGCAACGTCTCAAACTCAGCTCTGAGCTGAGTTTGAGACGTTGCCTCCTCTTTTACTACCTTCTGTTGTGTTCTCTTCCTGCCCCAGTCTCAGGTTTACAATCATGTTTAATATGCGCGGGGTTCGCCAGCAGCCCTTTCGTGCTGACCCGCCTGAACGCCGTTGGGCATGCTCGTACTGCCACACCTTGTACCACTTTTTTGTGTCGGTTAAAGATCAAATAAACTTCAACGACTATAAGAAAGCTTTGTATTCAGTATGATGACACAGCATATAATGCGTTGGTGTAAGCGAGCTGGGAAATAATAACGATAATAATCCCGGGAGGAAGGGAACAAGGGGCGAAGGACAAACACACATCTCCAAATTTAGCTTAGTGACTGTTGTGCGACTGAAAAAATCCGCCCACTCCTGGCATCGAACCAGGGACTTCTCCATTTCCAGTGAAGTGATCTACCAACTAAGCTAATCAGGAGTTAAACCTCAATAGAGCAGGCAGGGTTTAACAGCTGCCACCATTCGAACACCAGTGACGATAAATGGCCAGCATTTTAAGGTTATGATGATAATGCAAATCATTCAAAGGTACTAGCGAACTGGATTAAAATAACAATAATAATTCCAGGAGAAAGTAAACAAGTAAAGAAGGGACAAACACGGATCTCCAAACGCAGTTTGGTGACCGGTGCGCGACTAAAAAAATCCGTCTGGTCCTGGTATCAAACCAGGGACCCCTCCATTTCCAGGGGAGAGGTCGTTAATCTTGTTTATCTCGCACGCATATTTACATTTATTGCATTATCAAACAGAACCTTAAAATTTAGGCCGTTCACCGGCGCTAGAGGTAGACTGGTGGCAGCTTTTAAAACCTGCTTGCTCTACTGATGCCCAACTCCTGGTGAGCTCAGTTGTAGAGCGCTCCACTTGAAATTGAGGGGTCCCTGGTTGGATGCCAGGACCAGGCGAATTTTTTCAATCGCGCGTTAGTCACAATGCTTTGTTTAAAAATTTGTGTTTGTCCTTAGTCTCCCTTCTTCCCCTTCTCCAGGAATTATTATCGTTATTCTTGTCCACCTCACTTAGACCTTTGCATTAAGTGCATTTTCATCAGAACCTTAAAATGCAAGCCGTTCACCGTTGTTGGTATTCGACTCGTAGCAGCTGTTAAAACCTGCTTGCTCTACTGACGTCCAACTACAGGTTAGCTCCGTTGGGAGAGCGCTCCACTGGAAATGGAGAGGCGCCTGGTTCGATACCGGGACCGGGTGGATTTTTTCATTCGCGCACCTGTTAGCATGCTGTGTTCTGAGATTTGTGTTGTCTTTTGCCCCCTTGTTCCGCTTTTCCAGAGATTATTATTGCTATTTGTATTTAGTAGTTCTACTGAATATTCTCCCAAGCTTAAAAAAATAAATAAGGTGTAAATGAGGACTTACTTGAAAATTAATTCCTCGCAAAATGTCGCCCACGACGTCAAAGTTATTTATAATAAAACACGATAATGTTCCTACCTTTTTTCTTTTTTTTTTCCCGAGCACGAACATCGTCATATTTATTATTATTGGTGTTTTTAGGAGCCCGAGCTTCTGCAAAAATGGCTTGAGGTTTTTTGGGCTATGAATTTACTAAAAAAGAAAAAAGAAGGAATTTAACATTATATGAAATACCCTTGATTAGATTCTGGATATTCCAGTTTGCGTTTCAAGATTGGAGATTGAACTTTTTGTTTCATTTGATTTTGTTTTTGTAAATTACATTATTGAAACTACTTTTACTATATCGATTTCAATGTAATCGACTCTCCGTTCAGGCCTTTCAGGGCTTATAGTCACCCAGCTCTCATCTTGCCCCTGCCAAACTGTACCATCGGTAATGTATATCAATGGCGGGTTTTTTGCCTTGACACAGCAAGATGACAACGGAAATTTTTGATGAAGCGATGTTTAAGAAAACAAAAGGCGTTCAACTAAACAATAATTTCATAACCCTTTCCATTGGCTTTCTGCGGAGGACAATTCAAGTATTTTTGTACAATAGCGTTTCACATCGCAAGTTTAATCCCTCAATATTTGACATTACATATTTCTAGTTCCACTTTATTCTAACTTGTCTGACTAGCAAACAAAACAAACAAATAAAAAAAAAACACCAGTAGCTTTTCTTAACGACAAAAAACAATGCTTTCCGCTGCCAAAATCCCCAGTATAGTTTGTTCAGATATGCTCTTTTTCTGCTGGCGATGCAGAAGCTTACTTATTACAGGTTGCTCAAATAGTCTATTGCACGCGTTTTCAAACCCTATTGGTTGCTCCTTTCTTTATACGGGTATTTTAATAAAAAAAAAGAATACTGCCTGCACAAGCCTAAATATAGCAATTACTCTGCCGCGCGTGAATTCAGGCTACCATGAGCAGTGCATAACTGAACGAATAGAAACCTCAAAAGCGAGCATAATGCGTGATGGGTGAATCGTCCTTAATTTGTTTATCTATCTGTTTCAATGATTTTTAACATTATGCCAGCCGTGACGCGAAACCAGGTTGGTAGGTGCATCCAAAGAAACATCACTCTCACCCATTAAAACAAATTACCAAGAAAAGCAGGCACACATACATTTGCACTATTTACTATTCGTGGATGGACAGTTTCCTTTGTGGACAGATTTAACAATAAAAAGTTTCTAAATAAATAATAAATAATATTTATTATATTAACTTTAAATTTATTATATTATTTATTATAAATATAAATATATTTATAAATTAAATAATTAACAATAAAAAGTTTCTAAATAAATAATAAATAATAAATAATAAATAAATAAATAAATAAATAAATAAAAGAGATTTTTATAAAGGGATATTAGGCTTGTTGGTAGGGAGCTTCTGGAGGCGACATGACGCCACCACAAGTAAAGCCAGATGTGTGGAGAGACACGCCCCCAACAATGACCAGAACCACCGCTATTTTGTTCACCCACGGGTGGCACACGAGGGTGACCAAAAGAGCTTCGGGTTTGGTCATAGTTGGGGGTGTGTCCCTCCACACATCTGGCTTTACCTCTGGTGCCGTCATGTCGCCTCCAGAAGCTTCGTACCTTCGTGGGATTAGGGATAATGAATTTGTCGTGGCTATTTCATTAGCCACCGACAACATAAATAAACGCGGGATGCGTGGCCTGTTATGATCACGATACTATCTTCGTGATTGGTTCGTGGGCATTCTTATCGGCTCAGGCCGCTTTCATATTGGCTGCGGACCAATGATGAGATGCTAGGCGCTTCTATACTATGGGTACATTTATCGTAGCTTGCATAGAACAGAGATAACGGTTAATAACGTACCCGTGCCGCCCGCTGTGCCACTGGCGTTCCCGTGTGAGACCACCGGATGTCTTGGCGCAAGTGGGACAGGTCCCGAGCTGCGTGGTGGTGTAACCTGAAAGAAAGGGAAATAAACAATCGGGAACATGGACACACAGAAATGAACAAATAGGAACACAAACAGGAACATCTCCCACCATGTAGTATTCTACTTTTTTTCAGATCTAATCACTTTTTTGTTTCCTGTCAATTCTTTCCGGCGTTTTTTTTTTCTCTTTCATTTCAGCAAGAATTGGCTATGTGTAGAAAAAAACTTTTCTTCTGTACAGCGTTCCTCATCTATTTTGAGTGTTCACGCTGGGTTTTCCGGGGAATTACTTTTTTTATGGAGAGAAGTCAAACAGACCGATACAAATAGGTTCTTGTATATTCACAATATGATTGCCGTGAGTGCTAAGGGGTACACTAACTAGAGATTTCACATCTGGACTAATCAAGCGCTCGGACAAACATTTTCAGGGGAGATATAGCAACATATGGAGGTGTATTGTTCAAACTTTCAGCTCTCTAGGACAATTTTCCATACCTGCATAAGAAGATGTGCCACTCTTCGTAAACAAGTCTCTGATATGCAAACGAAGCTATTAAGCACCATTTTGACTGCTTGATTATAAAGTGGCGGATGCGGGACTTTGGGCAATCTAGTTTTTTCTTTTTTTTTAAATGTAAGATGCATATCAAGCCCATGTCAATTTTCGAAAACATAGCTGTAAAATAAATTAAAGTAGTTAGCCCGATTCTCCAGTAAAATCCAGTTTAGAAACATCTTGATTATGGTATTAGAATGCGTTTACTTTCGAACAAAAGATTCCTTCGAATGAAATTTGCAGCAAAAAGCGAAACAGAAAAATGCATTCAAACATTGAAATCCTTTACTTTGTTACATGCCTCGCAATGTGGTGAAAATATGTTATATTAATGTAACTATTTGGCACATGGCTATCCAATTTAGTGGATTAGTGGAGGGGTGTATAATTAGTTTCTAAAACAAAAACCTTAAATTTGGAAATTAAACTTGTACAAAAAAAGATCAGATTTAAGTTCATGTCCCCCGTCGAAAATGTTTCGAATATACCCTGTGCGCTTTTTTACACATATCAACACTTTAGTACTAAAAACCCGTAATTGAGTTGCGTCAATATATAATTAGTTTTCAGGTGCGTTTCAGTGTACTTTAAGACAATATATAAAAGAAAACGCAATGAATGAGCTTTCATTTTAAACTGTTACGAAATACAGTTTAAACGAAAACTAAGATAAATTTCTCTTGACATTAGTGCCCTCTGCAGAGTGATCGAGGCTCTGTACTGCGTTAAGCCAGGGTCACGCTGCTTATACATACTACAAGAGACAGTTGGCACAGAGATTCAGACGTATATCACCACGATATCCATGCTTCGAATGCCGAGTGGCGACGAGTTTAAAAATAAACTTGACATACGGTATTATAACCACGCATATCTCTGTGGTTGTTGTTTACGGGCTGTTTTTGTATGTTATATAAGCAGTGTGAACCCGGCTTTATGGTTGTCCCCGCCGCCATTTTTTCTTTCAGTATATTTTTATTACGCGTTTTTAGAGAGGGAGGCATACATGTCTACAAGACACTTCTAGCTGACATTCAAGGTTGCACACTTTGTCAAGCATCATCAAAACCGATGGGTGTCATAGATACGGACGTTCAGCTATAGTTTGTTTTTCAGTGATTAAGCCATAACCTACTTCTTTTGTGCTACTTTTTCAGTTGACACATTGTTTTTTTTATTATTTGTTCAACGCGGTCGAATATTGCAGGGGTCATACTCGGTCACGTGATCAACGGCTGGACACCTGCTGACCTTCAGGAATGTTAGGCACGACCGCCTCATGTTTAAACATTGTTGCTCTAGGCAAAGCGTTCGACATCTGGCTAGATGGATGGACAGATGAGACAGGCAAAAGGTCATACGTCCACCCCCGCAGTCGCGGACTAGCCGGCGGACTGCCGGCGGCTAACATGCCACTGAGGACAGCGAAAAGAAGAAACCGATAGCCGACCAAAAAGACAGGCAGACAATATTAATGGCCAGAGAGACAGGTACAACAAGATAGACGAAACATTCCATACACCTTGTTAAAAAATATAGAAGGACGCAAAACTAAGAGGAGAAACGGACAACCTTGATTCACTGTTCCTCTCAAGCTAGTTTGTCATATTTCTTTTTCTGAAGGAGATTTAAAGCTGGAGGAAGCCGGCGTAACATCACAGAGTACGTGTCGAAGGTTGTGCTTTACTCGGGGAAATCCTTCGGTTCCAATCAAGAGAAAAAAAGGAGGACGGAGCTAACGACTCTGTGTCATTGTGTCAAGTAGTGCCGTACTTGTTTTGGTTTAGGTTTAATTTTGGGTTGGGCGTGGCAGGTACGCATTTGCTTGAGTACATTATTTTTGTATGAGAATCGCGGTTGAGGGTGCTGAACCGCGATCGCCGGTCATGCAGGCATGTACGCGTCCCTTTCCCTACGTTTCACCCGTTTCTAAAGCCAACGCTTCGACTGAAGCACTCGGACCGAATTACAAAGTAAATGCCGGGTCAATTTACGAAATGCCATAAATTTCATCGTTGTTTCAGTTTTGAGCTCATTGAGAAGTAAACTCTTCTCCTCCTGAAAAGTCATAGCGCGGTTCTGATGTACCGAAATAGGAGCACGCACACGCTACGGCGCAATGTCGAATCCCATTTGAATTAAGTTATGTTACCGCTTGCCCCGTACTCTGTCTCGCCTAAAGTAAAGACGCATCCTACGCTACGAACTGATGGGACCAACTAAACAGTGTCAAAACCGCACCATAATGATATTCAAGATGTTTCAGTACGTGTTCTAGCATCGCTGAACCTTTCATAAACAGCAAAGGCCGATTGACTTTCGCTTGTGACGCAGCTTGGGTGGTCCCATTACCTCGAAGCGTCGGCTGCATCTAGACTTAAGCTGAAACAAAGTTTAGTTAGAAGGGGGGGGGGGGGGGGGAGGAAAAGGCGTGCGTATTACAGCTCGGGACATGTATAGGGAAAGCTCGCGCCGCAGAATCCAAGGATCCTGGGCTTAATACGGACCCCTGTTTGCTACGCCGGTGAGCTCGCTAACCAACTACCAACCGGTATGCAGAAACAATGGAGGTTTGCGGTTCCCTCTGTCCCACTTGTGCGCACACGTCGCACGGCACTTGCTTGGTTTGTTTTGACAACTTTTGGTTGCCAAACTTTGCGAAATCTCCTCTGGGTGAACAAGAGTGCGAGCTCAAGGAACGTACCGACGACACACCACACACAAGAAAGACCCCATGGTTCTTTTACAAGGAACTAGAAATCCCGCGGCGAACTTATACCAAGAAAACTCGAGGGAGGTAATAATGATAAATAATAATAATAATAGTTTTTATTGATCAAAATCAACAGTACAATAAATAAGGTCTGCCGAAGCCGGCTAGGGCTTAAAATAATGTTAAGAGTTTCGCATATCCTGACTAATATTAAGTAACATTGTAAAATTGAAGTTAAGGAGAGCAGTTTTATTATTTCTCATTAGCTAAGTTACGCCCAGCAAATTATTTCGTTAAGCTAAATTCAGCTGTGCAGTGAAATGGCGTGCTCTGGCTCTGTAGCTTTGGCTCCATTGCCACTAATAGTTTTCCCCAAGTATCGAAGGTTCGCGTTTATTTTCACTTTGGGCTCTTGACCTTTGCTATCGCTTTCGTTCTCCTTTGACTGATGCTGATGTGTCTCGTTCAAAAACCGGTTTTGTTTACCCCAAACTCCAAGCACCGCGAGAGCGCCACATCGCTTGTGGCGTTCTCGCTTTTCCATCTGTGCTATTTAATTGTTTTTCTCAATCGCGTGGTGCACTTTTGCCAAAATCTCTGCTATTGACTGGGTGCACTCACGCCTCCCATCTCGACTCGCTCCATGTGATAAAGTTTGTCCAAAACAATCTAAGCCATGTGCGATAAGGGACCTCAGCCAGATACTATGATTGAGTGACCACTTCAATATAGATTGCACGCTAGGAAGCCGTGCGTTCTGTAACACCGCTTTTAACTGCTGTACATTGTCATGTTGATAAAAAAATTGAAGGGCACAATCGTTTGAGTATTGTGAGACACTATGTGGCAGTCATATTCGATCATTTGCCAACTATACACTTTCAACGAATTTCCAAATACCCGGCTCACTTGAGCGTATTGTTACGCGCTGCACATTGAAGTTTCCAGGTAGCAAGCTGTCTTGAAGCGCTCTAGTTGACAGTGAACCACGGCCGCGTACGGTGTGACAATGAAAAATAGGACGATCGTCTGTAGATCAGCTGCTCCATTTAGGTAAAATTCCGAAGCGGCAGAAAATGTTTGTTCACAAGTGTTTCTGTTTGAGGCTGTGACGTTCGAGGCGGGCATCTCTTTATATACAACGTTAGCAAAATATTTTTTTACCTAGTTGGTTAGACATCACGAAAATAAAAAGCGCGAAAGACAAGGACCAGTGGAACATTACACAGAAAAATCGCTTACTGTCCGACAAAGAGAGAGGATTCATTGTGTCACCTCGGGATATATACCTAGAAAAGGCATTGTGAAAAAACTAGAAAAGGTATTGTGAAAAAACTAGAAAAGGTATTGTGAAAAAACTTCAACCGCCTGCCTGACTTCAAGTTGAATCTCGTCGAGGCCAAGTGTCTTCAACTGTTTCACAGGCTGGACTTAAACCAACTAAGAACTAAATGAGAATACCCTTTTCGCGTAATTGTGACTACGAAGTGATCATGGCAGGGTTACATGTCATGGTTCCTTTTGCGTGATTCCTCCGTCCTCCAGCTGGATGACCCATTCTTGATATTTAAACTAGAGGTAGCAATTCAGTTCCCGAAGGACAATTCAACCCAGACACGCTATGGGCGTTCCCTAGATGTAGAAGACTTATCTTATTCGATAACGTAAAGATAATTGTTTGACACCGTCAGCGAATGGATGAAATCTCATGGAGCCCTAGGTTTTCAGAACCCCTGAGGCTTACCGGTCCCATCTTTCTTAGAGGTTCTGAATTTTCATTTGTGCTCTGCTTTTGTCACGTTCTCAAGGGAGACTTACATACTGTAGAAACGAATCTGCATTGGGTCATGCGTTGCTCCCATTTTGTGTGACTTTTTTCTTTCAATTTGACGGGGGCATAAACCAGGTGTTGACCTCCTATCTAGTCGCACACATATTCAGACACGTTGACGACTATATTGTGCTGATGACAAAAATGCCCGACGCAAACGACATCAACATTAGCAAAAGCATATTTCTAGCTCGTGCACAAGGACTCAACTTCACTCACGAGACCCTTACTGACAAGAGCCTACAGCTTCTTGATATGCGACTTGCTTTTCAAAATGACCACGTCTGTTGGATGTATTCACCTAGATCTAAGAAGAATACTTCAGTATGACCCTGTACACTAAAAACTGGTGAAACGAGGCATAGTTTTTAGTTGTTTGATCGCTGCCCTAAAAAGTCTTGTATTCATTTAGCAAAAGATAAATCTGACGCTCAAGTATCACGGCTCAATGCGTCAGGCTAGCTCGGTTCCATCCTGTTTGACGTTGCTGAATGTATGATCCACCCAAACAGAACAAGCAAGAGAAGAAGAGAAATAGAAGCCGACCGGCAGTCATCCCTTACATTCATCGCATCTTTCATAACGTTAAGCGAATTGCCTCCAAATACGATGTGCCGTTTGTGTTTTCAGCCCCTGACGAGCTAAAAAAGCTTCACCCCAGAGTCAACAGCCAGCGCCAAAGCCTGATGAATGCGGCGTTAGATTCTACCACAAATACGTCAACTGTTGCAACGCAGTGGTGTAAGAGATCCCGTTCTCCCGTGGGAAGGTTTATGTGGGACTGTCCGGAAGCTGCATTAACTTAAGGCTCAGAGAACATGCGCTAAATCTCAAATCCTCTACGCCGGGGCATCTCGCTATGCATGTGAGGGACTGTGTATCTGCCCCGCCGAAGTCCAGCGCAAGGATTCTGAGGAGGTGTCCAGATAAATGAACTCGCATGATTTTTTAGGCTAAAGTCACTGCGACCCAAGGAGACGCCTGCATTAGTGTTCGATCTGTGACTTTGTCATCAAAATGATTAGAATACATTAAATATTTTCCGTATTTAAATAAAAATGCTTTACCTTTCATTTTTACTTACTTTTAGTTATTTTTATTTCGCACTCTGTTACTTTAATTGTGTACACCTTTCCCTATTACTTTTACTAATTATTTTTAATTCTTAGTTGTTTTAAAATAATTTGGTTCCTTTCTCAAGCATATTTGTCGCATTTTACGTCAAAATTTTTTTATGTCTTCGTCGTTGTCCTCTTGCGAATTAAAACGTCAGTTGAGAGCAAGAGCTTGTCCTCTGTAGCCTTTCCCTTGTCCTTGTCTTTAGCGCTTTCTATTTTCGTGATATTCAACGTTAATTTCAATACAAATAAATAAATTGAATATTAATATTAAAACAAATAATCAATTGTGACGATATGAACCAAGAAATACCTGAAGTGGGTTTCCTGCGCCTCAAGGTCCTTCACAAAGCCTTGTGCTGAAAAGGACAACAAATATAAGTGAGAATTGTGTCGTGAAAGCAATCGAATCGGTGCTCTACCCATCGTGTCCCTTATACATTTTTAAACATAGATGGAACTTTTAGCCAGTCTGTCACTGTATTCCAACGCACCACAGAAGGCACTGCTCTCGAGCGCAGTGGTGGACAAGACTGCAAGGCAGGTGAGTAAGTAACTCGCGGTTACAATATGGAGTCTTATAGTCAAGTGCTTTTTATGAAAAGAAAATTTAAGAAAAAAATAAACTTACGCCTTCACGCAATGACACCGATTTGCTCACGTTGACAATATCAAAGCATTGGCATAACCTGACCTAGTGATCTACCAACAATGCCTTTGAATCCGCTCATGGTTCAAGTTACACTCCACAGAACGTAGTATAAAAAAAAATCATTACCCGTTCGAGACCCACCAAGAACCCAATATCTTATGTGCACAATTCAGTGAGCGACAAACAATCCCATTTATATGACGTCACTAGCTATTAAAAAAAAAAAAAAACTCGTTGTACAACTTCGTTTGCGCTTTGTTAACTTTAAAACGCTCTGGTGCTTAATCTTCCAGTGTGAGTTGGCGGAGCGCCAGCTGTTGCGAACAAACGCATACAAAACAGCCGTTGGATGTACGAACACGACTCACTGCTGCAACAAGTAGACTCCTTGTAATCCCAAGAAAATGTAGGAAGCGCATTTGTTACTTCGCATTATATGCGTTGGAAACTATTCATAGTGTACATGACTAAAACAGTTCAAATAAAGAAGTTGAATTGAAGATACCAACACAACAGGACGCTGTGATAACAACTAAAGTTTTATTTGTTAAAACGACAGAAAGAAATCAACGTAGCCAAAATGGATTACATCAACAAGCCGTTGTTAATGTAATTTTGTTAATGACGAAATCTGTTCTGGTTACGTTTCTTTCTTTTTGTCTTTTTCACTAACAAATCTTTAGTTGTGAGTACAGCTCCGTCCTGCAGGACGAAGCTGTATTCATAACTAAATATTTGTTAGTGAAAGTTCAAGTGAAAAACCAAACACGACATGTCGTGTTTGTTTCTTCACTTGAACTTCGTACGTTTGAGCTGTTTTCAATGTGTATACCATTTACCAACTCGCTCAATTCGCGACATCAATATAGTTTACCTTAACAGTGAATTTTATCCCCATAAACGTTTGTGGCAGTAGGCAGTTAAATTAATCACTTAATTTTGCCATTAAAGAATTTTTCAAAATTGTGTGATTACTAGCCTGTTCGATTTCAGTGATACTTTACTGATGGTGTTTCGGGACATTATCGTCAACGGAATTGCGATAGTAAAAGTTGAAACATAAGCTCTACGGCTATCTGTAGTATCGCCTCGGGTTTATTGAGCATCACGATTAATGGAATCGTATTTACTTTCCCTTCTTTACCGGAAGTTTCAACATTTGCGTTCTGTCCAGACTTAGTAGAGTTAAAAGTTATTGAAGCACTCGCAATGCTTCCCAATCTTGAAATTGATACAGCCGCAATGTGTACCCTGATTTCTACCAAAAAACTTCTTGAAAATGTGCTATTTCTCTTGCAAAGGGTGGTTGGCCGAAGTTTGTGAGTGAAAGCAACCCTTAGTTACTCTTAATTGTATCCTGATTACAGGAGGGAAGTGTACGTCAAAATTATAAGGCACGTTTGCCTCCATCAGATTCAATGCCGTTACAAAAAAAAAGAGGTGTTAATTGTTACTTTATTTTATTTCTTTCAGATATATGTGTTGCTATGACTATTGCCTGCAACGTCCCGAACTTCCATGCAACATTTTATATTGTTAAATAAACCGAGTTCAATCAAAGTGTGTCTGGACTGACCGCATGTAAAATGAAGCTGCCGAAGCTCCGGACGCTCATTTCCGGACTGTTGCATAAAAAGGCGGAAGGAACGTGCATGCGCGGTGTGCTGTCTACCGAAACTGTGTCATTGCTACCTTAATAAGCGGCACCGATGCCTTCAGCACGTGACACTCTTCTCCCCTCTAGTTTTCAATGATACCAGTTGAGCTAAGTCCGATCATCGCGTGAACAGTCCCCTTTCTCAAGTTGCCAGTGGTCAGTTCAGCACAATGTACGGCCAGGATTGAGACTATTGCCAGAGTAGGTTCGCTTCTATATTAACGCATTTAAAGGTTTGTTTAGCATATCTCAAGTTAACTCTCAAAGGTTCTTTCTTGACACGAGATAAGTGTTATGGTAGAATAAAGTTAATCCCTAAAAACGTTTTATTTATTTGTGTATAGCTTCATCATAATACTTAGAAAACTGCGTGTTTAGATTCACAACTAGACTGCAAGATAAACCCTTGGCGTCAATAGTTCAGATAAATGCTTCTACTCAAATCAAAGGGAAGTACACTTTGATACTGACCAAGAGGTCAACAAGGTTTAAATTCTTGGCGATGATGCATTTTATGGCGGTTGCTGTAGTACTGCTGCTATATTAATGAACGTTTTTACATCTCAATACCTTTTTATTATAGGCTCAATTTCGGAAATAAATAGGCATAAATATTATCGAGCATCTACGAGAACAAAAATTTTTGGCATCACATAAACTTTTGATGGGGTCTTGACGCTGGTTTAACGGATGCTATGTAGAATACATGTATATTGTCACCTATGAGGAAGACACGTCAAATATTTATTTGTGCAGAGAACTTGCCAGACGTCACTGAAACATTCCTGGAAGAAGAGTCTATCCGCATTTTTACGTATCAACACAATGATACATAGAGAAAAGAAGGATATCATTTATATACGTTAAAACGGTCTTCCAAACTCTATCAACAACATGTAATTCCAATCTCTATGATACACAGTTGGTGTACCAAACATAAAATTATGCTGTACGAGATTGGCTATTAGTTAATGCAATTTATGATTGGAGAGCCCATTAATAATAAATTCAAGTTGATTTTCCATGCCTTCAAGATTTATTATTCAAAGATTAGGATCCTTGTTAACGTAGTTCGTGTTAACTTAAGCAACGCAGGGTGTGGTGATTCCCGACCATCTCTGAGCAGCCAGCGAGATTTCGGCATTAGTTGATGACAACGCCAAAAAACAAAAATTAACTACACCAGAACTTTGAAGGTGATAGGCCACTCCCTGCGCTTCTTAAGTTGTCAGTGACGACCATGAGAAGCATCATTACTAAGGCATAAGCTGCCCCTCGCAAAGATCGATTCGAGCACAAGCTTCGGTATCTCTTCCTGCATTTCAACAATTTGGAATAGCTTCTTGAAATCGCGGGTGACAAAACAAAACAATCATTGAAATCGAACTAATGGTTTGAGGGACACACAAGTGGATTGTCTGCTTCAGATAAGATGCATCCTGCTGGGGGAAAAACAGGAAAAAGAAAGGAAGGCTATTACCATTTTCAAAGTGCTCGCAAAAAGCTGACTCACAAAAAGGGACTGAGCTGCAGATAACCTGGCTGGAATTCACAAATAAAGTGGGCCAACTCTAGAAGTTGGACTACAAGAATGTAAGTAGCTTTTAAAACAGGGTAAAATAGGGTGAAAGAAACAGAAAAAAATACACTATGTTTTCGAGAAGATGGTAAGTGTGCAGCAACGACCGAGGATGCTTTTGGCTATAGCACCTTCACAATATTATCGCATCTCTTTTAGTGGATTTTAGGGTACGCGAAGTGTTGTCTGGTGTTGTGACATAATGAAAGTGGTCGTAGTCATTATAAACGAAAAGGACATTGTTACTTCTTGTCTGTGCACTTACCGTCTGGAGCTTCTCAAAGAGATACAAAATCTTTTCGCGTCCTCTTCTCCCCGTTTTCGATCACAAAAAAAGGGCTAAAAAAGCGGATATAACTTGCCGCCCCCCCCCCCCCCCACTCGTTTTTCTTTATTTTGTAGAAATGTTTATTTGGGTTTTTTGTCATTGTTGTTAGAGTCTAAAAAAATAGATTTTGGGGCTTGGTGAAAGGCTTTGCGGAACTGGAGGGTGCCAAGCCATTCCTTTGCGCGTGAGTGTCACTGTGCTCGACTTTACTAAAATAACAACAACCAGGGGTTGGTCCTAAAAAAAAAGTAACAGATTACAAGGGATGAGCTTCATAAGATATCTAAGGGAATTACTTTAAAATTACTCTAGAAAATATGTAATTATTCCGTTACTAAATTACTTATAAATGTAAGAGATTTCAGGTGATCTCGATACTTGTAACGGATTACGTACACGTCTTGTAGTAAATACTAATGGTTCTGATTTCAATCCTCATCCGGTCAAAATGGTCCCGGTCAAAATGGTCCCGGACAAAATGGTCCCGGACAAAATGGTCCCGGTCAGAATGGTCCAGGACAAAATGGTCCAGCGTGGCATTATTTATTTGCTGTTTGCAGGTTTTTACATTTTCTACTCTTGATGGATATTAAAGACTTAGAAAATAGTTTGGGAAATACTCGTGAAACACAACCCTAACCCTTTTTTATTTTAACTAAATTGCAGTCAAGTGGTTGGGCCAATGTGTAATAAATCAATACTTATATTCAATTAAAAACGGCACGAAAAAAAATGTGGAACAAGCACGAGGGTTACAGAGACACATCGTTGGCTTAATCGAGTAATAAATAAGGCTCTGTATCCACTCTTGTAGGCCCTCATTTTTAGCGCTTCTTTTTTTTCCCATACGAGGAATTACTGGACGCCATGATTGCAAATGCGGAATCCACCACCCTAACATCGCCAAATCCAGGCCTTGTCATCACCGATTTTGAGACTCCTCCTATGAACTCTGCACGTGCTGTGTTCGGAGAAGACGTCGCCACAAGAGGATGCTATTTTCATTTCGCCAAAGCACTTGGCGAAAAATTCAGGAGCTGTCTCTAGTGTCCCTTTATAAGAAGAGCGACGTCTTTCGCCTGTTTGTTGGCATGATTAATGGACTGGCACTACTCCCTTTGGACAACATCGCACGTGGCATTG